CTCCTCCTCCTCCGCCTCCGTCTCCTCCTCCTCCTCCTCCTGGTCATGCTCCTCCTCATCATCCCCCTCCGTCTTCTCCTCCTCTTCTTCCTCATCCTCGTTCTCATCCTTCTCCGTTTCCGCATGCTCCTCCTCCTCCTGCTCTTCTGATTCTTCCTCTGACTCCTGACTCCTGATTATGAATCTGACTCCTCCTCATCCTCCTCCTGCTCCTCCTCCTCCCCCTCACGTTCTTTCTCCTCCTCCTGGTCCTCCTTCTCCTCCTTTTCATCCTCCTCCGCCTTCTCCTCCTCCTTCGTCTCTTCTTCATCATCCGTCCCCTCCTCCTCCATCTCTACCTCATCATCATCAGCATCGTCCTCCTCCTCCGCCTCCCCATCCTCCTCCTCCTCCTCCTCCTCATCCTCCTCCTCCTCCTCTGACTCCTCTGACTCATTCTTCTCGTTCTCCGCCTCCTCCGCCTCTTCCTACTCCTCCTTGTCCTCCTCCTTCTCCTCCTCATCCTCATCATAATCAGCAGCATCGTCAATCCTTTTCCTCCTCCTCCTCCTCCTCCTCCTCCTCCTCCTCCTCCTCCTCCTCCTCCTCCTCCCCCTCTTTCTTTTCCTCCGCCTCCTCGTCCTCCTATTATTCCTCCTCCTAATCCTCGTCTTCCTCCTTTTCCGCATCCTCCGCCTCCTCTGACTCCTCCTCTGTCTCCTAACTCCTGATTATAACTCTGACTCATCATCTTCCTCCTCCTTCTCATCCTCGTCCTCCTCCTCCTCCTCCTCGTCCTGCCCCCTCGTCCTCCTCCTCCTCCTCGTCCTGCCCCTCGTCCTGTTCCTCCTCCTCATCATCCTCCTCCTCCCATTCCTCCTCTTCCTCCTCCTCCTCCTCCTCCCTCCTCCTCCACCTCCTCCTCCTCCTCCGCATCCTTCTCCTCCCTTTCTTCCTCTCTTCGTCCTCCTCCTCCCCCTCCTCCTCCTCCTCCTCCTCATCATCATCATCATCATCATCCTCTTCCTCCTCCCCCTCCTTATCGTCAGCATCATCAGCATCAGCATCAGCATCCTCCTCCTCCTCCTCCTCCTCCTCATTCTCCTCCTCTTTCTCTCCTCATCATCATCCTCAATATTTGTCCTCTTCCTCCTTCTCCTGCTTCCTCCTCCTCCTCGTCATAATCCTTCTCCTTCTCTTTGTGAAGCCGCTGCCTGGCGTTTGCCCGATGGACTCGGCGCTGCACGCCTCTCGCCAGGACGCCCTCAAGCATCGCACTATTGCGTTCGACTGCTCCGACGGCTCCGTTCTTTTTATCTGTACACGGTGCGAGGCTCATTCCAGCGGGGCGATGGTCCGCGGATTGGGCACCAAGTGCCAGCCTCCTCCCTCGCGTGCTGCGAGGTGCCGCTGGAATGCTCTGTGTAAAGGTCGGCACCCGCATTACAGGCAGCAGCAGGTGGGCGTCAATGTTGACACTGGCAACCTCATGCAGTGCTTTAACACGTGTGCCTGAGTTTTATTTCGGCCCCTTGCTCTTGATCTTAGCAGGCGGGCGACTGATCCTCTCAGTGAGGTCTCTGATGTGGGCGTGGAGCTCAAAACAAATATTTCTCCACCTCCTCGTTCTTCTCCTTCTCCTCCTCCTCACCCTCCTTCTTTTCCTCCTCCTCCTCCTCCAGCTGCTCCTCCTCCTTCTTCTCCTCCCAACCCTTTTGTTTACTTTTTGAGTGGGACGGCGAGGCACGACGGGGGCGACGATCTGTCCCCTGCTCGGCCAACCGCTCGCGCAGAAGTTTCGCAGCCATGCCGGCGCGCTCGGCCGCGCCTATCGCTGCCACAGGGCCCGTGCGCTCGCGATTTTTAGGCGAGCTTTGCCTGATGGGCGTGTTCTCCACGACCACCACCATAAGTTGGAGGGGGGGTCCTCCTCCTCCTCCTCCTCCTCCTCCTCCTCCTCCTCCTCCTCCTCCTCCTCCTCCTCCTCCTCCTCCTCCTCCTCCTCCTCCTACCCCCCTCCAACTTATGGTGGTGGTGGTAATGGAAATCAGGCTCATTATTGCCGGGCGAGCTTTGTCGGGCCCGTCCCTCTACAGGAGGAATATTCAAAAATATGCCAAAGATAGTCTGGGGACGGTGTTTCGGCTATCTCGATTGTGTTTTGAGTATCGTTTGAGTATGTATTTTTATGTTTCGTCCAAAATCCGCCTGTAGAGGGACGTGCCCGACCCAAGCTTAGGCCGCCTGGGAGCAAGGGGGGCAATGGCTGGGGGGGGGAGGCGAGGATTGCAAGAACGTGACCCTCGGGGACCCCTGGACGGCCCCCTAACTGCAACCGGGAGCTCCCAAAGGGTGTGCTGGAGAGGCGCACGCTTCTTCGCCCCCCCGTTTGCTCCACCACCCCGCCCACCCCGCCCCCTCTCACGAATGCGCGTGGGGGGGGGTTATCGTCCGACTCGCGGCAGAGGGATTGGGGGGAGAGGGGAGGGTGCTCGCGGGGAACGGAGGGGGAGAGAGGACCGAGCGCAGGGGAAGAGCAGGCGGCAGCAGCAGCCTCTCGGAGCTCCCTGCCGGTGTGTTGGGGTCGGCGCTGGGCCCCCCCTCCCTGGGCGCACGTGGAGAGCGCCTGGAGCGGCGGCGGAGGCGCCGCCACGGGGGGGGCGCAGCGTCGATCCCGGCAGTGCGTGCGGATCTACGATTCGGTCGGGCGTGTGTGAAAACACACAGTCTGAAGACATTGTGTTTACGGTAGGTTTGCGTCGTGTCGACCAGCGGCGACCCCAGCGCGGACATTCAAGGTTGAACGCCGCCGGCGACCCAGAATCGATCGATGTTGAACGATCGGACGTTGCGGCAGCGGCCGATCGTTCAAGGTTGAACGATCCCTGCGGTGTCAGAAACCAACGCCGAAGTCGGCACGACACGGACCTGCCGTACTAGAGTTGGACGTGTTCGAGTCTGTTTGGAGTAGTTGTGATGTTTCCTCTAAAATCCGCCTGCAGGGGGACATGCCCGACCTAAAGCCACAACTGTTTATGCCTGCGCAGAGTGGTCTTCGAAGCCGAGCGGGAAGGACCCTGGGGGAGAGCAGTGGGTCGTGCCCTGTTTGGGGGGGCGTGCTCTCGGCCTCCAGATGAGCGGCGCAAAAAAAGATGGCCGTTTGCGCCGACATTGGAGCGCAAGCTGCCCGCGTAAGGTCGCGCGTGAGCGCCCTCGCTTCCAGCGTAGCGCGCCGCGCTGGCGGCCCGCGTAAGCCGCGGCGTAAATTCGCTATGTCATCTCGCGTAAGGTCGCTTTGTGATCGTCGCTCATATGTCACTTCTGCAACACAGCTTGACAGCAGCTGGAGCGAAGGTAATATTGCGCAGCAGCGACAAGATTCGCGCGTCTGGGGTGGAACTCGTTGTGGTAGTCTGGGTTGTAACTTCAACGCGGTCTTCGGGCGCTCAAGATGCATCGCGCAAACTCCAGGAATTGACAAGCGGCGCTCTTCGGAGCATATCCTGTTTCTACGAACGCCGTCAAGCAGCAATGCCAGCTGGAGATGGACCAATCGGGGTCGCCGCAACGGGTGCAAGCTAGGTTGCCAGCTGGTGAAATTTCGAATGCGGGCCTCAAGAACACCACAGCGCCGACGCAGCTGTTCTTTACGCTGAGTCCAAGTGTGGTAACCGCTTTTATTTCGCGAAGCTGAGTTTGGCGGTCTGTCGGTCTGGCTAAGTGACTCCATCTCGTTCGTGGTTCTTACTTTTCGAACCCCACCCAGATTGCCACAGTTCCCCAGGTTCTGTGCATGGTGGACGGGGCCGCTGGGGGGGCAACGTTCGATGCTCAGCCAGAGCAGCGGCCAAATTCGAGATATTCACATGAACATTGCAGTTATTTAGATGGACCGGCGTTTCCAGCCCCCAGAAGACTTGGAACAGTTGCACCACACCCGAAGGGAATTGCTGGACTCCACTGCTGGACTCCCACCTCCTCCGGTCCGAAGCATTGGAGGGTGGAGTCAAGTGGTTGTGGCTGGCCGTGAGCAGCTGAGTGTGAAGGCTTCACGTTCAGAAGTTCCGCCTGAGCTGCTGCCGCCAAACTTCGGCCAGTATCGTTTCTGCCGATTCTAAGTACGTCGAGGTCACGCCGTCAAACCAAAAAAGAAATTCCGAACCCCCGAATTGACCGCGAGCAGTCACCGAAGCAATTTGATATCGAACTGGCCGTTCAGAAGGGCAGCAATGGTCAAGGCGCCTGTCAACGGGAACCTTTTCCGGATCTTCTCCAAAGTGGCGGGCCAAAGCTTCTTCCGAGCACAGGATTGCGCAGCCTTTCCCCTTCCAGGAATGATTCCTTGCCCAAGTCATCCGCTTGCGGGCTCGCTCTCTGGCATCAGTTCGCTGAAGGGAATCGCAACAGTTGGAAAATGCTGCCACCACGAATCGAAGAGGAAGTCAAAGAAGAGGGAGGAGGAGCCCATCAAGGAGAACGAGGAGGCAGGTGAGTTCGCGGCACATCTTACTTCATGTATCCCGCCCATCGTTCACATTGTTTTCGATCCTTCTCTCATTCGTCGCCTGGTATGATCCAGGATGTTTATCCCATCTGGCACGTGCGGGACGAGGAGAAGAGGAGAACTGTCCCTCTGGAAGAGAAGGCCAGGAAAAGGAGAACGACGGCGAGGAGGGGAGGAGGGCGAGCAGGATAGGAGGAGAACGACGAGGAGGACGAGGAGAGGGGAGGGACGAGGAGAACGCCACGGAACGCGAGGAGGATAGGAGGAGAACGCCAAGGAACACCATGTTTGTGTTCTTCCAGTAGCCCCGATCATGCCAGCTGCGATCGAAGAGAGGAGGACGATGAAGACGTGAAGGAGGAGGACGAGAAGGACAATGAGGAGCAGGAGGAGGAGCAGAAGGAGGAGGAGGAGGAGGAAGACGTGGAGGAGGACGGGGAGGGGGAGGCGGAGGAAGAGGAGGAGGGCCTCCTGCCCCGGGCTCCCCAGCCACCGGCCTCGGCGCGGCGCCGCCCAGGCGCAGATCCAGCACCTGGAGAGGGAGAAGAAGGAGGTGGAGCGGAG